ACAGAACAGTATGGCCCTGGACCCAGCACCTGGGTTCCCTTCACCAGCTGTGTGGCCTTGGGCTCCATTCTTTCCCTGGGCCTTCCTTTCCTCATGTGTAAAGGGGCTGGCAACCCTCATGTAGGAGCCTGGGGGTGAAAGGCCCACACTGCAAAGGCACTTAGAGGGTGTTTGGGAAAAATGACTTCCTCCCTCTGGCAGCCTCGGTCATCCTCCATTGCAATGTCAGGGAGAATCCTAGGGCTGCCTCTGGCAACCGAGGGAACCCAGAGGCTTGGCACTGTGTATACTAAGAACAGTGCCCCAAGCCTATTGGCTGTCAGCCCCCTGTCCCCAGGATGGAGTCTGTGGCTATTGGACCTACCATCAGGGTTAGAGTCAGGGCCTCTGGGTATCTACCTACTCTCCCTTGCTCAACACAGCCTTCTCTACCAGTAGCTGGCTCCTAGGTGGCCCTTACTTAGGGCCAGAGCAGCCACTGCCATGCTTTCTGACCCCAACTGCAGGATGGCCCTCCTGCTTCAAGACCCAGCAGAAATGCCAGTCCCCTGAATCCACCTGCCCTGCTCTCACCCACCCTCAGCATTCATCCACAGCATCTCAGACACCTCTTGGACATAGCTCAAGCTGGGTGCAGGCGTCACAGCACTTGCCTTCAGGGATAAAGGGCCATGGCTCCTCTTCATCCCTGACACTAGGCTCAGAACCAGCCAGGAGTTGGGTATTTATGATCCCATGTGGTGAGGATCAGATGGGAGATAGAGCAGGAACTGAGGCTCCACAGGACCTAAAACCAAGGAAAGGCCTGGCTCAGAAGGCTCTGGACTTGCAAGGTCTCCCAGGGATTGGGGTGGGCTGCAAGGAGGGGATTGTGTGAGGAGGTCATGCATGGCACATGAAGAGTTTCCTTCTGCAACCAGTGAAGGGTACTACCCTGGGAGGTATCTTGGACCCCAAGTCCCTAGAATTCCCAGGATGTTTTGATGGTTTGTGGGGTGGGGTGGCAGGACATTTGGAAATCCTGGAAACTCCAGGGTGTGTGGTCACTGTGGCAAGATAAGTGACCCAGCATGGCCACATCCGCCTGCCTGTGGAGGTGGGGGTTATCGATAGGAGGGAATTATAGCCTCAGAAGTTAGGAGCCTGTTTCAGGATCTTAGGTCACCACAAGCGACTAGATGCAGGTCTGCAGATGTGTGGTTTGGAGTTACTACCCAAAGCCAGGGTGGAGGACCCTGCCTGCTGCCTTGTGCCCTCTGCCAAGCCCAGGGATGTCCCAGGGTGGCTGTTGCCCTCCTGCTCTTCCTCCCCTGGGAGTCTGCTGGAGTGAGCAAGGCCCTGGCAGCAGCTGGGGGCTGTCAGCAGCAGACCAGCCACAGCATTGGGAGCAAGGCCAGGAGGCTGGAATTAAGCCACTTCCCAAAATAGCTCTGATAGCCACTGGGTAGGGACCCAGCCAAGCCTCATCCCCACTGACAAACACAGCTGCTGTATCCTCCCTCCCCAGGAGGCCTGCTCTCAATTCCTGGTGGCCACTGATGGCCCGTCTGGCCCTGACCAAGGCCTCCTCTCGGGGCTTCATTGCACAGCTGAGAAGTGTGGGACTGGCCCAAGATACGACTCTGTTCTGGCCTTTGACCTAGAATGTGAGGCTAAACGTGGCTCACGTCAGGGAAGATAGCAAAGAGACCTGGCAGGACAGGTGTACTCATGCTGAGAGGGGGTGACAGAATCGTGGGGCAGAGACCATTGCAAGCTGGCATAAGTGTCTGAGACTCAGTTGTGTGCTGGTATCTGTCAGATACCAAGGGTGAGCAAGGATGCAGATTGGAGGCCCCCAGCCCTGAGCAGGCTCTTTGGCTACTCATGGACACCTGAGTGGGTCAGGGATGGGATCTCAGGACCTTTCCTCCAGAAACCTGAACTCAACAGTGTCAGTTCTCCAGAGTTCTGGGGATAGGCCAAGTGAAAGGACAACAGTTGGTGGCTTTCAACTGGGGATCCAAGGGAGGACGTCCAGAACCTGGGAACCCAGTTCCCTGAGATTGGCTGCTGAAGTCTCTTTAAGGCAGGTGGGTGGCAGTGGTGGCAGGTGAGACAGCATAGGTTAAAATCCCAGGGACTTGTCAAAAATAAATAAATAAATAAAATTAAAAAAAAAAAAATCCCAGGGACACTCCTCACCCCAGCACAAGGGTGGTGGAGCCTGGTTCTGGGTGCTTCGCCCCTTGGCCCTGACTGGCTGGTCTCACCCCATCCCCAGGCTGCGAGCGGGATCGCTTGTCCTTTGGTTTCTGTGAGACTCTGCGCCTGCTGGGCCGCTGCCAGCTGCCCACCATCCGTGCCCAGTGCTGCCGTTCCTGTCCTCCACTTGGCCACGGTGTCCCCTCCCGAGGTCATCAGCGGGTGGCATGAGGTGACCTGAGCCTCGACCTGCACCGCGCACCAGGATGCACAGACAGACCTTGCACAGACCTCAGCGCCCCGTGTCGGGCTGTGTCAAGAGCCCTGCCCCTCGCGCCCTAATGGTGCTATTCCTGCCCCCTGGCCCTCAGCAGCACGCTGGGGACTCCCCTCCCCTTGAAAAAAGGTATTTTTTTATTCTATTTGTGCAACATTTATTATTATTGTTTTATATAAATGAGTATCTACTGTTCCAAAGCTCAGTTTGGCTTCGTTTTGCATTTGGGAAATCTCAAGTAGAAACCACTCCTCACCCTCGATCCTCTAGGATACTCTGTTCCCACCTTCAACAGATAGATTTTCATCTGCTTTGAGGGTGGGTGTGGGCAGATCGACAGTCAAGGAATCCACGCAGAGAATGGCGCCTACTGTAGGCATGGGAGGCCTGGTGTCAGAGTGGAGGGTGGCTTCTTACAGGAGGCATATCTGCAGAAGCTTAGCAAATAGGAGTAGGAAGATTTTTCTGGGCAAGGGACACAGCTTGGCAAAGTCCTGAGAGTCCCTGTCCATACCCCTTACTTCTGCCTCCTGCTAGCAGCACCCCCCACACCCCAGCCCTTTCTCCAGGGATCCCCACTTTAAGTTCCTCAAAGACATGTGTTTCACAGGGATGAACCCCAAGCATTGTCAAACAAAAAAGTCTACCTTGTCAACCACAGGACTACCCCATGGTGACGGGGTCTGGGGTTCCTGTGGGCACTTCCCTGACCCTATAATTCCTCTGCACAAAGCTGTGGAGAGGGGAAGAGCAGACTGGCCAGTCTCATCCTTCTTGGTCCCCACTTGTCCCTTTCCTTTATCTCCATGCTCAGAGATGGGACTGGGCTACTCAGGGCTGACTCAGGGTGCTCCTTCCCTACCTATAAAACCTAGTCCCCTGGGGTTGTGGCTCAGCTGGTAGAGCGCTCACCTCGCGAGTGTGAGACCCTGGGTTCGACCCTCAGCAACACATAAAAATAAATAAACAAAATAAAAATATTGTGTCCATATATAACTAAAAAAATATTAAAACAACAACAACAAAACATTAGTCCCATGGAGCAAGACTCTGGTACACACAGCAAGGAGCAGCTGGAAATGAAGTTGCTTTGAAGAGGGTTCTGGGCCCAAGCCAGGGGTAGGGAGGTGACGAACAAATGCCTTTTTCCAGCCCATATCTTCCCCTTCCCCCAGCTTTGAGTTTGGTCCTCCTCCCCGAAAGTGTTCTGCCTCCTTCTCCAAGTTTGGGGCACTGAAGTTCTAAGAGGGGATACTTCTTACATTCTATTCTCCAGCATACAGTATTCCCAGCCTCTAAGGTGAGTGGGCCCTGAAGCCATGCAAGTGGCATTATGAAGGCACTGGACGTGGGCCATATGGCTACTCAGGACTGAGGGAACACATTGGCAATCACTCCTTGGGGATTAAGACCATCAAACAATATCAGAGGGCTGAAATAGTCAGTGCTAAGGGTCACAGGACTGAAGGGGTTGAGAAGTGTGTGGGAGCAGAGGCAGCTGTCCCTAGAGGTCAGGAGGGTGTGTGCTTAGCTGCTTCCAGTTCCATATGCTCACACCTCTTGGTCCTGAACATGCCCCATTTTCAGGTGAGAAACCCATGGCTCTGAGGGAAGTGACTGGCTCAAGGCCACATACCTTGGTGACAGAGGACTGATGGAGGCCTCTGGTCCCCATCTCCTGTTCTGAGCTCTGGACTTCCCTTAGCAGTTGATCCCTCTGACCAGGCAGGTGGAGGGCCCCCTGCAGGCTCCCAGGGCAGTCTATCAGAGGTCACTCAGGAAAGCCAGTCACCGGGAGCACGCACGAGTCCAAGCACCACAGAGGGTGGAAGAGTGTCAGGCTCACTTCCTGTCTGTGTTTACAGCAGCCCTACTGGCCCAAGGAGGCCCACGCTCTGAGTAATGGCTTCCCAGGGCTCAACCAAGACTGCTTTCAGTGGCAGCCTCTTGTAAGGGATAGGGAGTAGGGGCTGGCACAGTGGCAGAGCCCTGGGGTCCCAGCTCTGCCATTACTATTATGACCTCAGGAATCTCTAGACTTGCTGAATCTCTGTGTTCCCAGAGGAGAAGCGGCATCCCAGGTCCTGGCCTGATCTATCTGGGAATCTTGCTGGATTCCCCACTTGATGGAAAGACATTTGGTCTTAATCATTTTTGTGTTTTTCCAGTGATGGCTAGAGGTGTCCCCAGTGGCAGCAGGGCCTGAGCTGTCAGCCCAGACAGGAGGCAAACAAGCCATGACTCAGGCAGGGCACGGTACAGCTGGCGGGAAGAGGGCGCCTGCTCTCTGGCAGGGGCTTCATTAGGCTCAGCAACAGCGTTCCCCTTTGGCTCCCAGGCTCTGCCCTCAGCTTCAACCTCTCAGGGTCTCCCAGAGTGACTACTGCTGACAAATGTGTCCTGTTCCACCCCACCGGAACCACGGGCAGGGACACCCAGAATCACCAGGCTGGCAGGTTGGAGAGGTCCCCACCCTAGCCCATGTCCTTCCTGGGGCAGACCCTGTCACAAGGAAATATAACTGCCTTTCAAGGCAGAATGTTATACAGATTACTTTATTTTTTCCTTTATAATTCCAAAATTTAACTTGAAGACAGCATAGAAGCTGCTGTGATATAAATGGACAGTCACCTGGCAGCGTCCCTCTTCCTCCAGCTGCCCAGCAGGGGTGGAATGATCAGTGGCACACATGGGGCTTCGCAGCCAGTTTCTCCCCTGTCGGGACTTCCCCAGCAGGCCCAGCTGCCCAGCTGCTGGGTCCAGCTGCCGGTCACAGGGGGGAAGATAATACTGCAAAGCAGGGGGTGGGGGATGTGCAGTATACATTTAGTTAAAAAAAAAAAAAAACAACAACAAAGACTGGGTACTTGGCTAGAGTACTTCCTATATCAATATAATATTCTGGTGCAGTTGACACCAGAATCGTTCCCAGCAATCTGTAGTCTGCTATCAGCGTGACTACAGGTAGCGACTGAGGCTACCTGGGGTGAGGAAAGGGCTGAGCAAAAGTGAGTCAAGGCTGGAGGCAAAAGGGGCACAGGAGGGAGCAACCAGGAGGCTCAGGTTTACATAAATACATACAAGGGAGTTGTGCACACAAAATAGAACTTGTTATATAAAATAGATGTACAGACTCTAGAAAAACCTTGATAAAATATCCTATAAAAATATAAACTGTAGTGAAAATATACAAAAGTATTAACAGGTTCAACCCATTAAAAAAAAAGAACCATCAATTTCAGAGTTGGGAATTCCCACTAGGTGTGAGGTGCTCCCCTCACCTTGGCACCCACATTTAGGCAAGCAGGCTGGAGGCCACCCTTTCAGCTTGCAAGGGCCACCACAAGGGGCCCTGGGCTGGCTATAGAACAAAGGTTCAGATGAACAGCAGCGTGCAGAAGGGGCACTTGCCAGGCGGCCAGGGGAGGAAGAGGGACCTGGGGCCCTGGAAGGTAGGAAGAGGTCTCTCCTCAGTGGAGGGAGGGAAGGGGAAGTGTTGGCTCAAATCAGTGGGACCTAAGGCTATGGAAGGAGGGCACTCCTCCTGACCCAAACTGGAACCAGGCCAACGATTCCCTCTCAGCCCCCTGGACATTAAGCACTTTATTCTAGGAAGAAACTCCAGGAAAGGGTCCCCAGTCCATCTCCTCTGGGAATTGCTCTCACTGCCTCATGCTTGGTAGGCAAGTGCTCCACCAGGTGCTTTCTAAGAAACATTTTTTTTCAGGGTAAACTGGATAAAATAAGTCCATTCCTAAAGGGAGCATTTTAGCTCCACTACATGGAAGTTTGGGGATGACATCTTCCAGGGGGAACTGACTTGAGAACTAAAAGCTGAGGACAGCTGAAGCTGATCCATGGGGCCCTAGCCACAGTCCCAAGCACCTCCTCACAGCTGTCCCCTAAGCTGACAGCCACTATTTCACAAGGTGGCGGCAGGGTTCTCCAGCACTTGATCCCAGCAGTCCCCGAAACAGTAGTGAGACTGCAACGCCTGCCCTGCTCCCAGGCAGCTTCCTGAAGAAGCTGGGCTTCAAACAACTGTTCCAAAGATGTGCACAATGATAAATACAATCCTAGTATCTGAAAAGAGAAAAGAGTTTTGACTAAACACAGGGACCAGTTCCCCCTACACCTTAAGAAAGTAGGCAATTTAAGCCCAGGAAGTTGAGCTTGCTCTAGTAAACAGGCTCTTAGAAACAGCCAAGTAGTAACTACCAACTCAGCCACGGTACTGCTAGGATGTTGACAGTAAAAGATGAACAGGAAAACGATGCACTATGGAAAAAGCACTTCTTGAACTTGCATCGCTTCCATTCTTAGTCTGAGTGTGTTTGTATCAACTAAGGATTGTTTCTGATTTGTGTCTAGGTAGTGTAAAATATTTCACTTAAGATTGTTTCTTTTGTGTTGGAGTAATACTGTGCCAGAAAACATTCTCTCATGACATCCGCACATCAGTGATGGTCCACAGGACTTAAGTAAAAACAACTTTCCTTGCTCAAAGCCTCTCTCCTGGCTTCAAAAAGGCAGTGCTCCGAGTCAGAAATTGCCTAGGCAGCCCAAAATCAAGAGGCCACAGTGACCCTACATCCTTGCTCGAGGACAAAGGTGCTCTGGGTGGCGAGGGTGGCAGGAAGACTGTCGGAGAGCTCACCCAAGCCTTAGCTCTAAGTAAAGGAGCCTGGCAGCAGCCTCCCCCACCTGCTAGCTAGGTGAGGGACATCAGAAGCACTGCCCACCTCTGGGGAGGCCAAGGTTTCTGCCATGTAGTAGGGCTCACCCAGCAGCTGCACCAACACCCTGAAAAGCAATCCCCCAAAAGCTTCCTGTTCCCTCAATCAGGGGCATGCCAGGGTGCAGTTTGTAGCTAACTTAGACTCCTATCTGAGCCACACTTGGAGAGTGGCTTCTACAAGGCAATTCCCAGATGCAAAGCAAAGCATTCCACAGAAGCTCAGAGACGGTCAGGCACACGGCAGGCAGAGGAGAACAGCCAGTGATTTACAATCACGAACTGAGATGAGAAGTGCACGGGGCTGGCTGCAGAGCCAGGCCCTCCCCGACGCAGGGTGGGAGCTACTGTTTTAAAATGCTGTGCAGGAGATGGCAAAAGCTAGTCCAGAAGTGGGGCATGGCTGGCAGCTGAAGCCAGGATTCTTGGGCTCTCTAAGGAGGCTGTTTCTGAACATGGAATGTGTCTACTTTTCTAAAGAAGTCCCTCATTTCACATTGACCTTATGCCACCTGAAGCAGCCAAACTCTGAAGCCCTGTGATGTACACAATTGCCTCCTATGTACAAAAGAACCTGGGAGAGGTCCAGCAAAGGATGGTTTTCACAGGGTCAAACACCAACACAGCTGACAGATGCTGTAAACAGGCTCTTAGAAACAGCCAACTGGTAACTGAGGGGCAATTCACCAATCAGGCAAAAAGCATGATCACGATGCCAAATGTTGTGGCATGGAGATGGCTGTAAACAGATGAGACCCTGCCCCCAAATGGGAACTAAGAAAGTGCAGTTTGGCTTTGGACATCTGCCCAGCAGATTCCCAGACACCACAGATGTTACATTCTGGCATTTAAACAAGCAGAAATGTCCCTGCAGTTCACACTTTTGACACACTTTGGTTGTGAAGGGAAGAAGAGCAGCATCCTGGGTGGGCATCCACTTAGGTGTCCTCCTCCTCATCGCTGACCAGCTCGCCTTTGTCAGGGCTGGTGTCCCGCTCACGCAGGAAGTCCTCTCGGATGGCCTCCAGCTCTGTCAGCTCCAGCCGAACCTTCTCCAAGTGGTAGGTGCGACGGTTCCGGATCTGGCGCAGGGGGAAGGGGTTCAGGTCCCCAAAGGAGATGCTGATCAGTTTCCTGGCAGGACGAAGGGCAGAGACGAGCATCAGCAGTGCTCAGGCAAGTGCTCACAAAGCCCCCACCACAGCAAAACCCAGAGGCTGGGGAGCAGGGAGGGTGTGTGTCACCCAGGGAGGCCAGGCCTACGTCCTGCAGACAGGCAAGGAGGCACAGTGGCTGAGCGAAAGACCCTGCCTGCCTGTCAGACTCAGATCCCAGCTCTCCCCTGCAGATGTGACTGGGAGTTGCAGAGTTGAGCCACCAACCCCCTTTTGGCCTCTTTCCTTGTCCACACATGGGATAACAGGAATGTCATCTCCTAGGGTGTGGGTGTTACTTGGTTCTGAGAACAACATCTGACTCTTGCTTGGTGAGAGAAGGTACAATGAGTGCCCCCATCAGGCCACACACACAGGGCAGATAATCAGGAAGACTGTCCTGAGACTTAATTCCCCCAGAATGGATGAAAAAGCAAACTTGGTGACAACGGTCAGACCCAGGCAGCAACATGACCAGCGTTGACCAGAAACATGAGGGAGCTGGAGCCTTTCACAATATCCCTAGATCGAGGCACCGACTTATGATAAAAGTTTTTTTTTTTCTTTTTATAGTAGATGAACTCTAGATAGGGCAGAGGGGTGGGAGGGCAAGGGAGGGGGCAGGGGGTTAGCAATGATGGTGGATGTGATAGACATCATTATCCAAAGTACATGTGTGGTAAGAGTTTTAAAAGTTGTGATAACTTGTCTTTAACCACCAGTCAATAGTTTTTATAAAAACAGAGTTAAGACCCGTCCCAAGGTCTGGCTATGGCTCTCCAGGCCTCAACGGCCAGCCACACTGTGTCAGGAGAGGAGCTGGAGGCTCTAGCACTGAGGGGCTGACCCCCTCCCACACCCCATTCTTCTGCCAAGCCCAGCATCCTGGGCCCAGCTGTCATGGCAGAAGGACTGCCTCCTGTCTCTACCAGAAGCAAACCATTTGCTCCTGCTGCTGCTCAGCAGCTTGGGCCACATTTAACACAGATGTACAAATTAAGAATACACAAGCCCTAGGATTTCTGCCTCTTATATTTAAAACACCTACTCCTCTGATCTGCCTAACTCTAATACAGAGGATTATTATTACAAGGAGGTAGAAGGAGAGAAAGTTGGCTTTATTCAAATGCCAAGCTCCCCTGTACATTTCAGGATAGGTGAGCACCAGAGGTCAGGGTAATAAGCCTAAACACAGTGACTCCCCAAGTGAGGACCGGGACACATGCCACATACTCAGCCTGCTGATGGGGCTACTGAAAACCCCGGGGAAAATGAAATGCTGGTGAGGGACCAGGCACCAGGAGCCCACGAGACCAGTCCCTTCTCTCCTGCAGCTTTGAGCCCACAGGTTCCACAAGCCCAAGACTAAGTCCCCCTTCTTGATTACATAAAGTGAACACCGAGAGTACTAAATTAACATTTTTCACTTACTCCTCCAGTCAAATGGGAACTGACTGGACCCAGTGGCCCCTGCTGGGAACAAGGGGAAATCAAGTCACTACCCATAAAACTCAACTCCTCACAGACTCCCACAAGTCAATACCATTTAACTCAACGGCCCCTGAATGCAACTGGCTACAGAACTGCAGAATTTCGTTCCCTGACCCTCGGGCCATTTTTTTGGGGGGGTGGGGGTGTGGTGGAATAGGGAATTGAATCCAGGCCTTTGCACCTGTAGACAAGCATTCGACCACTGGGCTACATCTCCAAACCTTTATTAGATTTTATTTTGAGATTGGGTCTTGCTAAGTTGTTAAAGCTGGAACTTGTGAACTCCTCAGTAGGTGGAATGACAGGTGTGTACCGCTGCACTGCCTCCTCTCTCCTTTTCTGTATGACCGATGTACTGCAGAACTGGTGCTCACTGGAACCACTTGTGTGGGGAACTTATAAAATATTGGGGTTCCAGCACAAAGGTGGGGCCAGGACATCTGTAGTCTTTCAACAACATCCCCAGTAATACTGCTGTCTTTCATAATGCATTTGGCAATTCTTGGTCTGATGGCCTTGGCTTTCTAAAGCAAAGGGAAAACTGCACCAAGAGCTGCTCACCAGGTGGCGCTGCAGGACAAAGCAAGATGGGTGGGAGCTGCCCAGCTTGGCCTGGTGGTGACAGGAAGGGGCTGACTGGGGGAAGGGGGACTGAGGATTCCAGCACAAGGCTATCCAGGTTTAGGCAAGATTCGACTCTGGAACCAAAATGCTCTCAATAGAGTTCACTGCCGGCATGAGGAAGTTCACTCAGCCATTGTAAGTAATCCTGACCAATGTGAGATTAACAAGAATCCTAAAGGCTCACCTAGGATTTAGCATCAGTCTTTTCAAAGGCAAATATCATTCTCAGTTAGCCTTCCTATTTATCTGTCTGTCCGTCCGTCCATCCATCCATCCATCCATCCATCTATCCAGCTATCTGTCTACTTATTTTGGTACTGGGGATTGAATCCAGGGGGGCTTAACCACTGAGCTGCATCCCCAATTCTTTTTCTTTTATTTTTTTAATTTTGAGACAGAGTGTAGCTGACTTGCTCAGGGCCTTGCTAAGTTTCTGAGGCTGGCTTTGAACTTGTGAGCCTCCTGCCTCAGCCTCTAGGGTCATTGGGATTACAGGGGGGTGCCACTGTACCCAACTCAGATCTCTTTTCTCATAAAATAAGGTCACTATTGTTAGAGTTGGTAACAAGGCTGAAACTATTTTAAAAAGCCTAACAATGGTGATGGCCTCAAGAAAGCTTTGTATGTCCTCAGCCACCACCTTCTGCTGCCAATTTGACTGCCAGGACCAGAGGAGCAACCAACTGTTGTCCAGGAGACATAGTGACAAGGACAGCCCACAACAGGAAATAACCATGTAGATGGGGAAGGCAGAAGCAAAATAATTCATGGTCATTCATAGACATCTGGCAGCCCAAGCCAGAAACCCAGGGTCTTCCAAGTTCAAATCCTCCTCTACTCTCTTCAATCTGCCCCCATCACTTTTCTCCATCTCTGGGGCCAACTCTCTCCAGGCCACCACCTTTCTTCCCTGGACCCCTCAAAGAGCCACTATTCGCTGGTCTGCCAGTGGCCAGTCCCATCCCAATTTGACATATCCTTCTGCCTAAGCTACAGTGACTTCCCAACATAGATTGAAGATCCAAGTCCCAAGCCCCATCTCCAGGAACCTAGACAGTCCAGCTCTGCTATGGCCCAGCTGCAAGCCCATGCACACCAGCAAGAGCCTGGCTAAACTTCTCCACAGCTCTCAGAATACACTTGCTTCCCCACCTGTGCACGCCCAGAGGGCAGCTCTGCCAGAGTCGTCCCTCCGTTCCCCACTGCCCCTTCCCAGCCTACTTTCTTCCCAGGCCTGGGCTTCCTCATCACACTGCTCACCAACTGAGGCCTCAAGTTCAGGCGCTGTTGCTCATCTATCATCCCCAGTGCCTGGCACAGTCCTGCCACATAGTAGACACTCTGCAAATGCTTGTAGCCATGTGAGACTATGGCTTAGGAATGGGATTTGTGTTTGTGAGAGTGAGGATGAGACCATCTTCATTTCAATTCCTTTCCAGTCTCTGGAAGGCCAGCCTCCTTCCCATTCCTGTTCACTGGAAGGAAATTCCCTCTCTCATGCAGAACCCCACAATGGCTGGAAGACAGCAAGGACAGGATACCCTTAAGGAGACAGAGGACAGGCGGCTCTTTCCCCTGACATCTGGACAGTCTCCTGAGGACTCACCTCGCATCAAGGATAGTACGAGTGAAGTAACGGAGATACTTGAATATAGACATCGAGTCCTGCAATTTCAGGATCTCCTCTTCCTTGTATTTAAAAAGTGCCAGGGCAAAACGGAAAATCACCTGTGGAAAGGACAGGAAAATCTGTAAATGGAGATAGAGACACCCTGGCTCTAGGCACACGTCTGGCACTGGGAGGGCACTCCCAGGGCTTTGGAGATGCCCCGCCCTGAGGCAGACACTTATAGGGGTGACTTCCACTGGCTGGGCAAGGCCCTTTCTTATGGGAAAATAAACTCTCTGGTGGTTTTTAATAATTCAGCCCAAACCTCCCTTTGAAGCAACGAGACTTTTGTGGAATCCTTTTAGCGAACACTGGAACTAGAAATCAACTTTCTTTGGTACTAGAGACTGAACCCGGGGTGCTTAACCACTGAGCCACATCCCCAGCCTTTTAAAATTTTGAGACGGGAATCTCACTAAGTTGCTTAGGGCCTAGTTTAGTTGCTTAGGCTGGCCTCCTGCCTCAGCCTCTCAAATCACTGGGATTACAGGTGTCTACCACCAAGCCCAGCCTAGAAATCAATTTTAAACAAAAATAAAACCAGGGTTTTTTGATTCTGAGTCTTGGAAATCTCCACCTTAGAGGCAGTTCCCATCTCAGCTAGTGAATGGGGACCTGAAATGCTGACTTTGAAATACAATGAAAGAGAAGCAATTTTTGTTATTGATTTGTTTGGGGGTACTGTTTTTGAAGCTAGGGGGAATGGATTTCTGGGGTCTTGGAAGTTTGAGCAGCTTTGGAACAAATAGCTTTTTGCACATCTAAGGACCATGGATGATCTGCACCAACCTGTACTTTCTCATATTTAGAAAGCAGTATTTACAGGGTTCAAATAGGTCATCTTTCTCTTTACAACCTTACCAATGGCCCAAGAGGAACACTATTTATGCCCTGAGAAACCTTTTTAATAATGACAGACTTGATTATAAAACTGGTAGTGCACTATGTCAGGCATTAAGTTGAGGGTGGGTAATAACATACACTCAAACTTTGCCGTAGGAGTATAAACTGGTGAGGCCGCTCTGCAAAGGATCAGGCATCACTGCCAGCACTATAGATGGACTACCATAGGCTGGCACTTCTACCTCTTGGGCTACACCTACACACGTACTGTAGAAAGACAAAGTGCCAAGAGAGTCCTGTTGCATAGTTTGAAGTGGCAAGAGACTGGAAACGACCTAAGTGGCCATTGTCAGGGGCTCTGATATAAATTTCCAGCTCATCTGTACAAGGAAATACTACAGAGTTATAAAAAAAAATATATAGGAGTCAGACCGTAAGCCCTGGTAGGTCACTATCTCTAAGATACAGTGACTTAGAAAAATTTTTAGAGATACTCTGAGAACGATATATAATACACTGAGAAGAGCAACTAGGAGACTGGGGAGCAGGGAGATCTTTCCTCTGCTACCCTTAGTTATATGATTTAAGTTTAATATGTAAATGTACTACCTAATTAAAAACTGATTTTAGAACACAGAACAGACCAGGTGGGAGGCTTGTGGCCATGAAGTCTCTGAAGTTGGCTCCCCTGAGCTTGCCCCCTGATCCTCTGCTTATTAGATCTCTGGGCCTCTATCTCATCCATATAATGGAGATAACACCACCATCATCTGATGGATAGTGAGATTCAGATCATGAACCATCAAAACTCCCAGGCCTAGCACAGTGATTAGAGCAGACTGTTTTTTTGTGAGTGTGTGTGTTAAGTGCTGGGGGTTGAACCCAGGGCCTTGCACATGCTAGGCAAGTGCTCTACCACTGAGCCACACTCCAGACCCAGGCTGTTTTTGATAAAGAGCAAATAATTACTGTTTCCTAAGCTCTCTGGTGGTACACCACACTGAGCTCACTCTGGTGCCATGGTAATCTCATGAGTTCCAGGAGAACCAGCCACTCACCACCACTAAAACAGACAACAGCATGTTTCTTGAGAACAGCTGAGCTGGGAAAACCCACCTTTGGTCCCTCATAAAGAAAAGAGTCCCATATTTTAAAAAGGATGTCACTAACAACACTGTCCACAAAAACCACCAGAAACCAGTTGAATGTGATAAGGGTGTAGTCGACTTTGTACTGTTCAAAGTGGGCATGCAATCGAGGCAGCTTCTCACTCATGAGGTCTCTGAACACCCGCTGGTCCACCTGGAAAGGAAACAAAGAAAAGTGTCTTGCGTCTGCCACGCATTGGACAAGCAAGCAAGGGCAGACCTCTTGAGAATGGATACACCGCAGGGCTCATTGAGAGCTGGACTACTCTCACTGGCAGCTGAACTCACATGCCTGAGGTGCACACAGGTGTCCACCGACTGACACCTTCCTTACAGCTCCTATATTCAAAGTGCCCTGGGAAAACAGGCTGTCCCAAAGAATCATACATCTGAGTCCTAAGCAATGCACTAAGATAAGTCTTGAGGGGTAGGGATGGAGCTCAGAGGCAGAGCGTTTATAGTGTGGGTGAGGTGCTGGGTTTGATCCCCAGCACCACACACAGTCTAGAGCCAAAGAGGAAGTAGGACATTACCACACACATCCATGTAACAAATATTCAAAAGGCTTAATGGTGTGGGAGTAGCAAGACTCTAGAGCCAGAGAGACCCAAATGTGGGTGTCATGCAGCTTTACTACTCACTAGCCATGTGGCTTTTGGTACATGATGTTCTAAATAGTTCTGTGCCTCCTGATCTCTCTCACCACTCTTTTGTGAGGATTAAATGACGTTTACATAAACTACTTATCGCATGACAGAAAAACCATAGGTGGCTATTGCTGCTAGAGTCAGGTCAGGCCAGGGGCAGTTGAGCAGAGGGCTGAAGAAGGTTCAACCCTGACCTTGAGGACTTTAAAGACAAGTGGGGCAACCAGACCTATGGAGTAGCACCATAACTGGTGAGAGGCCTATAAAGATGTGTTCATGGAGCATTCTGGAGCTCATAGACTGGAGGAGAAAAGCACCCATGGCCAAGGTCAGGCTTTCAGCAGGAGGGTGGCAGGCAAGGCAGCACAGCTGCGTAGAGTTTGTCACGGGGCCACTATATCACACAGAGGGGCTAGAGGATTTCCCTGTCTGTGACCACATGGAAACATCTGGCTTCAACCACCACCCGTCAACACATATTTGTATATGTGTGTATAAAACAGAAACTTAAGTCTCACAAAACAATACTTAAAACCTCCTGTGTGGGATTCACTTGGATGCTTCCAATCCTAATCAATTTTATCTGACACACAACAAAGGTTATCATCCACCATTAACCAATTTATACACAGTTTGAAAAACAAAAAACCGGGCATGGTGGTGAGCGCCTGTTATCCTAGCAGCTCAGGAGGCTGAGGCTGGAGGAGACCCTGTCTCTGAGTAAAATATAAAAAGGATGTGGCTCAGTGGTTAAGCACCCCTGGGTTCAAACTCTGGTACCAAAAAAGAAAAAGAAAAAGAAAAAAACACAATAGGCGTGGAGAAGCATCCGAGGCTTTAAACAGGACAACAATATGGATGTGTCTGCACTTTTAAGGTCCATGCCCTAAGCTGCAGCAGGGAGGCTGTACTGGAGGAAGCCGAGCTGGAGGCCTTGCCACAGATCATAGCCCAGGTGACGAAAATCCAAACCAGAGGAGGGCAGTGGAATAGAGAGAGAGAGATTAACAACTCTGTGGAGGTAAAATCTGTACAACTTAGAACACTTTTTGCTGTGAGAGAAAGGGAAAGGGGGTGCTCAGAATAACCTGGCTTCTGACCCAAGGCATGGAGAGGACAGAGGTGTGGTCCCCCAGGCCACAACACAGGAACAAGGGCTAGGCTGGGGAGACTGTACATCATGCCCCAGGACACCTGAGACCTCAGACTGAGGCTCCACAGGAAGCCTGGCCTTATTTTTAAGTTTTTTTTTTTTTTAGGTGGACACAATATCTTTATTTTACATTTATGTGGTGCTGAGGATCGAACCCAGTGCCTCGAGCATGCTAGGCAAGCACTCTACCACTGAGCCACAACTCCAACCCCTGAGTAATGCCATCTCTTGATGTTCAAGCAATTACAACACATTCGTCCACACTTCAAGGCCCTGGCAATAGGGACCAGCTGTTGCTCTGAAGGAGCTGTAAAATGACAAGGGAGGAGGACAGATGACCATGAGACCAAGTGATGATACCAGGATTCACTGTGCCTGGCTGGGGCTGCTGAAGACATCAGAGAGGACATGTAGCTGGCCTCCGAGTGGGAGATCCTCATAAACTTCTCTTCTCCCAACTGGGTGACAGATTTGCCTCACTTATGGCTAGGTGGCTAGCAGAGGGCTGGGTGCAGAGCAGGCTGCCAGGGAACGCTTGCCCAGGCCTATGCTTTAGCACCCTCCCCCACTGAGCACAGGAAGATGTGGAATGACTGTATCATTCATCTCTGTGTCTTCAGTGCCTAGTGAGGACCTGGCACACAACATGTCCCTCAAGGATGGCAAAAACATGGAAAGCTGGCAAGCAGCTGGCTGCAGCAGCAGTGGGCAGGGGGCTCGGCAATGCTTTCTGTCAGGGAGGCAGCTGGGCAGCAATTCCTAAAGCACAGCGTTGACGGCTGGTGGCACACACCAGCCTCTCCCCATTTTAAGAGAAGCCTTACATGAAGCCCACCCTTAGCCTACGATGATTAAATACACGATACACGTCTGCCTGGTGGACTATTATTGGCACCAACATGAAGACTAGAAAGTACACAATGACGCAGGAAAATGCTCATGCCTTAATGTGAACTGGCCATGCCTTAATGTGAACTTGAATATTCAACTAAGGGAAGGAAAAAGGAAATATATCACAAGGGTAACTGTGGTCCCTAGTTAGTGATAACAGGTGGTTTTAATTTTCTTCTTTTTATCTTTCTGTATTACCTAACTTCTCTTTATAAGCATCTATTACTTGCATAGCCAGTGCAGAACTTGGGGGGTGGGGGAATTTATGAATATCTGATGCAAGTTTTATCTTAAATCTACACACTTAAAGTAGGTCTTCCCTTTTTACCTACAATAACAGTATTAATAGCTTCTACTGAGTTTTTACAATGTACTGAGCGTGACATTAAACTCCTTAAATGTATCATCTGAAGTCTACCTCAAACTATCTATGAAAAGGTATTACCCTCCTCTCACAGATGGAGAAACTGAAGTACAGAGTTGTTAAGTGATGTGGCCAAGCTCCACAGCTCACAGGAGGGAGGCCTGGTTCTGACGGGTGACCCCCCCACACCCAGCGCACACTCCTAACTAATGCGCTTGACCACACCTTAGTGGAGTAGGAGAGATTAATAATGCTTCATTTCTCTTATTCTCAAACACTGAGTAACATGTGATCTTAAATTTGAACCTTTAAAGCTATTAGCTCTAGGGCTGGGGATGTGGCTCAGTTGTAGAGCATTTGCCAGGCATGCATGAAACCCTGAGTTTGATCCCCGGCAACACACACACACACACATACACACAATCCAAAACTATTAGTCTTTAGTTGCTGTGAATAAATAACACTTTCTTTACTGATCTCCTCATCCCACCTGACTGTGACTCCTACCTCTTCCTACTGCTGTTCATGTCCTTGTTTACAAACTCAAGCGACAGAAGCAGAGCTTTTGGTTAATTAGCAAGTGAAGTGATTACAGGGAGACCAGGTGAGTATCTCCTGGAGTCCATCAATGACATCCATGAAGCTGGAACAGGGACCTGGAGGAGGCAGCTGTGGGAAAACTCATCCCCCAGGAATGCCAGAGCTCAGCACCTCTCGCCATTCTCCCAGGATGCTGTAGGAGGAAGTGGGCAGAGGCAGGTGAACTGAGGCCTCTAAACGAGCTAGGAGACCATCAGGCCAGCAAGGACAATCCAGTTAGGTAACTGCTGTCACAGACGCCTGTGTCAGGGAAGTGGGAACCAAAGTGGGGCTCTGATGACAGCTTGGGAAGGCAGAACAGCACTGGAGAGGAGACAGTGTGTGTGCTGGGCTGAGCAGGAGCTTTCTAGGGAGTGAGCAGAGAGTGGTGTTCTAGGTAGAGCAATCACGTATAAGAAGCACAGAGGGCAGGGCCAGACCACAGAGCAAGTGTCCTGTCATTACAGGGAATGCTGCCTCCAGCAGCTCAGTGGGTAGGTAGGGGCTAGAGCATGGAAGGAGGGTCCAGGTGCTGGACCCTGAGAGGATGAGGGCCCCAAGGGGAAAGACACAACTCAATCTGTGGGAGAGAGGAGGCAACTGCAGGGATGTAGAAGAGAGGATGCACCTGCCAGTGGAGAGGCGGGCAAAAAGGGAGAACACATGTGAGCTGCCATGCAGGAGGCAGCAACAGAAATGGTAACCACAGGGTTACAGGGAGCAGGATGGTTTGTTTCTGGCTTGGGAAACTAGAAGGATGGGTAGGTCAGGTGGTAACTAGAGGCAATAATGAGGCTCTTTCTCCAAAGGTAGAGACACAAATACAAAGCAAAACTCAATCAGGGTCCAACCAGAAAAACAAAAATCTAATTATTTGTTACAGGGAATTTTATTCTAGGAGCTGATCACATCAGTCACAGAAAAGCTGAGGCCAAGTGGCCAACAGTGAGACAGTCCAGAGGTCAGCAAGAGGAGGAACATCCCTGGGCTAGAGCAATAGAGGGATCAGGTAAGGTCACTGCTCTGCATGGAGGACCTAACAGATAGCTGGGGCCAGAGGAGAAAAAGCTACAAACAGAGGCAGCACTCATGATGGGGGAGAAATCCCTTCCACAGCCCCTTGCCATCCTCTAGCTTCCTACCAGTGCCTCCCGCCTGCCTGTAGGACCAGCCCTGCAACATCCTGGAGAAGGGTGAGGAGAGCCTCTGTGAGCAGGCAGGCCAGGCTTGGGCACACACTGAGAGGAACCATGCCACAAAGCAGGCATAGACATGGGTGCAGTTGTGACCAAGAGACAGGAGGGGCCAAAGGTGGGACATTTGAGTGAAGGGCTGGGGGAAGAGATGCCCTGAGCCACAAAGCAGGACATTACCCAGGCAGAGACAAAAGCCCATAATATCCTGGCCTGGCCCTTGGTGTCCGAATCCAGATGTGGAGGGCCCGGTATGCGCTCCTCAGATCTGCTGTGGGAAGTGACTGCTGGTCCCTACTGCAGCGGTCACTGCACTCATTCCCAGAAGCCAGCCAGTGAGCATGGGGGGGCCACTAATGCAGCCCACTCCATACTGCCTCTAACAGCCGAGGTTGGCTTGAGCCACCCCACTGGCACAGGATCACAATGTCATCTGGGACTCTTCCTCCTTGATCCTCCTTCCTTCCCCTGGGCTGGAGGTTCTCCCAGCTTTTCCCAGCATTGCTCCTTGTCCTTCACAGGTCTTGTCCCACAGAAGCTTCTGGAATGTTTAATCCTTCCTCGGCATCTACATCTTGGAGGACATAAGTTACCACAATGGGCTCCTCCAGCACCTGATCAGACTTGGCTTGCTGTGCCCAGGGGAGAGAGCACAGGACAGTGAACGTAACATCAGGCCCGCAGGACAACTCTCTGTCAGCTTCCAGTGACCTGAAGGAGCCAGCCCAGCCCCACTCACAACCACTCAGTCCAGGCTCTGAGATGTGACCTGCCTCTTTCAGGGATCAGTCGCTGAGGTCATGTATGCAAAGCTTCCCCCCATGGGGGTTTAAAGTGGGTATCAGTGATAATTCTACAAGTTGGTGACTGACTGAAGTACAGTATTTTAAAAAGTACCTGGGATCCTAAAAGAGTCTTTGTGTAATAGTCTCGAGGCATGAAAACTTCCACAATGGTAACCAGACACCAGAAAGCATCTTCTTGCTCCAGGTACAGGAGAGCCACTGCCACCAACCTACAACAAACAGGAGTGAGATCAGTGCCAGGTCCTTGCCACAGTCTTCACCGAGTCGTCTGCTGAAGCATTTTCTCTCTCAAGGCTACTACCATTTTTAGTTCTCCAATAAAGAACAATAATTAAGATGCTGGGCTTATGGCTCAGAGGTAAAGCACTCGCCTAGCATGCATAAGGCCCTGGGCCCGATCCTCAGCACCACATAAAAATTAAATAAAAATATTGTGTCTCCCTATAACTAAAAAATAAATTTAAAAAATTAAGTGTTCCTGAGAAGTGAGGCAGTTCTTAAGATTTGAGAAGCAAGGCTATATTCCCCTCACCCTTTCATCTGGTTTCTGTTCAAAGATGAAATTGTTTTCTAATAATTGACCATCCTCATATAAGGAAATATTTTCATTGTAAGATTTCGCTAACACAGCTAATTCTTTGAGTCCATTGTTCAAAGTTCCAACTAATCCTTTTATGAAATAATAAAAAAAAGATGTGAATGTAAGTAACAAAGAGTACACAATGCTTTAAAAACAACTTTCCTGATTCCATTCATTTTGCTTCTACTCTGGAGGAATGAGGGGGCAGACAAAGGAACACTGGTGAGGGGCTTTCTAAGGGAACTGCAGTCAAGGCTGCAGATGGGTGCAACAGAAACCTGGATCCAGCTATTTATACCTTGTCACTTTCTGGTAATCCTAGGTCTGGCTCCAAGTGGGCATTTGGGGAAGAGGCAAGAGAAAAGCCCCTCTCTACTCAGCTGAAATCCAAAAACTTCTGCCTATGATATGAGTTTATGTGCATCACCCAAAAACCTTGAAACCCTTTATCAAAATTTGCTTTTTCCAGCTGAGCATGGTGGCACACACCTATAATCCTATCAACTTGAAAGGCTGAGCTAAGAGGATTGCAAGTTCAAAGGCAGCCTCAGCAACTTAGTGAGCAGCCCTAAGCAACTTAGTGGAGACCCTGTCTCAAAATAAAAAATAAAAACAAAAGGCTGTCGCTCAGCTGCAGAGCACTTACCTAGCATGTGTGAGGCACTGGGTTTAATCCTCATAAAAAATAAATAAGGGCATTCTGTCCATTTACTACAACAACAACAACAACAACAATAATAATAATAGGCTTGGGATATGGCTCAGTGGTTAAGCACCCTGGGTTCAACCACTGGCACCATCACCCCAATTGCTTTTTCTTTTCCTCTTAGATAAAAATAAAAATCATCTCAAATTAAAAGAAAAAAATAAAGATCTAGGCTAGGTGAAAAGGGGATGTCATGAAGGAGATGGAGGTTGGAAAGGTGACAACTGGGAGATGGAGGAAGAGAAAAACAGTTCACAAAAGCACAGAAACCAAACCCACAGGATCTGAAGATGTAAGGATGCCAGCACAGGGGGTAAAGATTCGGAAATCAGAACGCTCAAATTAACTGATGTAAAGATGAGAGGTTTGAATTATCTAGAATAAACTAAAGTTTTCCTACTGAAAGTCTGAGGACTCAGAAAGGCGTGGACACATACCAAGCATTTTGAAGAAAAAATTCCAATGAAACAGTTTAAGTTCAGAGGCTCTAACAAAGAGGTGCACAGAGAAAGCTTTGATTACCTGGAAGCATCACTTATGTTTGGGAAAAATCAATGACAACGCTAGATAAACAGGAACACTCAAGTCCTCTCTGGGATCCTTTGGTTTCAGAAGCTTTCAGCTACCAGGAAGTTTTAGACTGAGTATTAAGTATATAATGTGAACTCTGGTTTTAAGTAAAACAAGATTGTTTTATTAGCACTTGGCTTCATTTAGGTCTTCATCAAGTAGTGGTCCAGTTTAAAAATCTTTTTTGCAATACTTTCATGCAAATAGCTTATATAAATGAGGGACCAAGAATTTTCACTCCATTCATTATCGACTAATGAAATTAAACTCTTCTGATCAAAACCCAAGGGTGAAGAGATCAACAAGGAAGAACAAGACTCTGAGCTGTTTCAAGTGAATTTGATTTTCATGTTTTTTGTTTGTTCTTTTGGTGGTAAGGACTGAACCTGGGCCTCATGCATGCCAAGTATGGGCTCCACTACTGAGGGACATCCCCAGCCCCAACTGAAGGTTGGCACTGGCAAGGATCAGGAGCTAAAAGGCCTCAAAACCAGCATTCAAAACTCTAACTCATGCACTTGCCTTACAGGAAAATTCCTCAAATACACACACAGAGCACTTAAAAAAATTTTTTTTTGTTCTAATTGGTTGTACATGATAGTAGAATGCACACATCACCTTCATTCTTATTTTATCTTCCTGGGAAGCTTGGTTAGTTCTATCACTACCCAGACAGGAATATAAACACACTACTGCAATGACAGCAGGAAGCAGAAGTAGCAGAAAGGGTATCAGCCAGATGAGATCAGATGGTAAGAAGCAGTCACCAGCACTGAACCTTCAGAGCTGGGAGGAGCTTTGTGGAGCTTTTGTGGAGAGCAGACCTCAGCACCTCCCAAAGCATGGCTTGGGATGAGGAGCCTAGATCTCTAAAACAAGGTGAGAGGCTTTCCATGTCCTTTGCTTATGAAAGCAGGGAAGTATGCAAGACCTACAGAGAGATTCTAGACTAAAAGAAAGCAAGTCTAGGTCCTTTGTGAGCTAAATTTCAATCTGCTGACGAACAGTTTGGAGCAATTTCTTAATCACAAGGACGCTGTATAAATAAGGAGTGATCAAGATTTTTTACTGCATGCATTATCAACTAATGAAATCAAACTCTTCTGATCAAAACCCACAAGTGAAGAGATTAACAAGGAAAAAAAAATGAGATCCCAGGCTGTTTCAAGTACATTTGACTTTCATATTCTTTGCCCCCCTTTCTTTTTAGTGCTGAGGATTGAACCTGGCCTCTTGCATGCTAAGCATAGCTTCTACCACTGGGATGTCCCAGGCCTTTTTATTTTCAAGACAAGGTCTCACTAAGTTGCTAAGGCTGGCCTCAAACTTACGATTCTCCTGCTTCCTAAGTGGTTGAAATTATAGGCATGCTCCTCCATGCCTAGCTACCAACTTTTGTATTTTTTGATGCTTTCTGGAAGTATGTCTATTTCCCTCAGTTATTCTAGAACTAGGGATATTGTACCATAAAACTAGCTTGCTGCAATTACTTTTCCCTTAAAATACTGGCTTTTCTTAGCCAACCAGGAGGTAGGGAGCTGCCAGGCAGTGTCTGGTGCCAAGAAGTTCTATAAATGGCAAACAGGAACTTTCTGTGGCTGACACTCACCTGTTTAGACCTTGGCAGTAGCCGATATCTGGATTCCGCCAGGAGAAGGCGAGGAGGACGTTCCGTAGCTTCTGTATGCCTTCAGAGGTGGGGCAGGAGTAATGTTTGTTGTTGGGCAGAGTTCGCAGCAGGTCTAGCTCTATCTGCTTGGAGGCTGGGTTCTGTTTCTCCAGTGCTTTTTGAAGCAAGGTCTGGAAGTAGCCTGGCTCAGCACTGTCCTTGAACTTCCTTGTGTGAAGGTCCACACACCACTTCCACACCTTGGAACGGTGCTCGTGGGGAATGCCTGCACGAATCAGGTTTTTTAATTCGGGAGAGCACATCATCTCTCTGTTCATTGTGCTTGCAAAATAGTTTTCCCACTTGACCCCAGTGGAAACTTCCTGGTTTTCTGTGAGGTAGAGAGTTTTCAGGTCCAATGCACGGACTTTGGCGACCAATTTCTCTTCCTCGTCATCATCAGGGACAGTCCTGAACCCATAAATATCATACTCGCTGTTGAAAAAAACAAATGGGAAAATGAAAATTATATGGAATATAGGTGGCCTCTAGAATTATTATATAAATCATAAGGAATATAGGTGGCCTCTAGAAGCTGGGAACTGCCATAGCTGACAGCCAAAAAAGTAACAGGGACTAGTCTTGCAGCTTCAAGGGAACCGTATTCTACCAACATCTTGAGTGAGCAAGGAAATGAACTATTCCCTAGAACACTCAGAAAGGAATGCAGCCCTTGATCAAACTTCGACTTTAATCCAGTGAGACCTATGTTGGGCTTCTGACCCATAGAACTATAAGATAATGAATCTGTGCTGCTTTATTTTTAAAAAATATTTATTTATTTTTTAGTTGTAGTTGGACACGATACCTTTATTTTTTATTTATTTATTTTTATGTGGTGCTGAGGATCGAACCCAGATCCTCGCATGTGGTAGGCGAGCATTCTACTGCTGAGCCACAACCAGTCCTCTGTGCTGTTTTAAGTCACTAAATTTGTGGTAATTTGTTAGGATGGCAACGGAAAATTAACAAAAAAGCTTTGCATGCACTGAGTGTGAAGCTAATTCAAGTACTTGGGGAACTGGGTTTGGCAGAGTTGAAGACATGCATTCGGCACACGTCAAGAATCTCCCTTCTATTCTACACCTAGAGTAACTCTCTTGCCTGGGTACCTGGGAACATGTACTTTGATTGTTATGAACAGTGATGCAATAACTAAGAAAAATGCAAAGATTTTCTCCACTAGGAGCATAATAAAGTACTGTGGTCCTCTCATCAATGAAGTTCTCTGAAGTAGGTGAAAAACATACCCAGTGGCTACCTAACATGGGAAGAGTACCTCACTCCTTCAGAACAGCTCGGAGGCTTGCAGAGGTTAATCACTCCCAAGGGAGCAGCACCACATAGCAGCATAAGCAGTTCTCTTGGGCCTCAACCTCAAAACAAGTGTTTTGCAACAATGACATCGATCACATTCTGACATCGTGTTTCTGTCATCTGTGCAGCCCAAACAATGCTGGCAGGTGTCGTAAGCTCAGGGGAGGGAAAGATTATGCCAAATGGAAGCAAGGCTTCACCTGGGGATAATCTGGGAGAAGAGAGGACAGGCAGGAAGGAGACTGTGGTAAGCGAGACTCAACACATTGCTGCCTCTGAGTGGCAGAGGGTGAAACAGGAGAAGAGGGTGGACCCAAGTGAATGTGCAGATTTCTTCAAGTTCCAACATTTCACAAGTTCCACTTTTCAGAAAATTGGTTATAATGGATTCTTAATCCAAGATCCATCATGAACTTCCAGGTTCTGTGATTTCCAAAAAGAATGTGCAAAATTGTGTGTGTGTGTGTGTGTGTGTGTGCTGCAATTACTTTTGGAGGTAAGTGTGTCTATGGCTTGCATCAGATCCTTAGTGGGTTCTGGACCAATGAATTAAGTTTCCCAAAAAGCTTTCCCTGGGCTCGGGTTGTAGCTCAGTGGTAGAGCACTTGTCTAGCATGTGTGAGACACTGGATTTGATCCCTAGCACCACATAAAAATAAACAAACATAGTAAAGGTATTGTGTCCATCTACAACATAGAAATTTAAAAAAAAGGTTCCCCTTATAAAGAAAGTCCAGTCCCCCTTTGCTGTTAAATTGTCTGTGGGTATAACTGTCTCAGGAGAGGGTTCCTAACAGAAACCTGGCCCCTCCCAAAGTGGTGTGGGCTTTGACATGGTTCACAAGAAAAAAGTCTTGAAGCAGGATACCTGGGCTGATTCCAGATCTATCACTTGATTACTGGGAGGGGACTGGTAATATTATCTGTTCTGCTGACCCAACAACACTTGCCATGAGCATCAAATGAGACGTTCCTGTGAGTGGCTACTACTGAAAAAGGACACTTCAGAAATGGGGTGCATTACCCCCAACAGTCTCTAGTTCCTTTACCTGACAAGATGAGGCTTAATGAATGCTTGCTCTGGCTGCTCTTGACTCTCAACCTGCAGAGCATCCTCCAGCAACTGGGCTATGACATCCCGGGAAGGCCCCTGTTCTTCTGAGCAAACTGGTGTCTTCATTTCTTGAAGCAATATCAAGTATTTACTTTCTATCTGGCAGAGCTTGGCTTCCAGGCTAGAATACTGCAGAGAATGTGGGGGTTACCTCCATTCACACAGAGACATGAGAAAAGCAATCCTTAGGTACCTCAAGTAATCAATAATGACCAGCTCAAATTATTAGGAAATAAACTAGAGACTGTTACTGTAACAAAGAAGAAATTAATGTATGCCACAGGCCATCTATCATATTTAAAAAACCTACTGTGGGTCTTGGGTTGTACTCAGTGGAAGAGTACTTGCCTTGCATGTGTGAGGCACTGGGTTTGATCCTCAGCACCAAGTAAAAATAAAACAAAATAAATATTGTGTCCACCTACAACTAAAAACATTTTTTTTAAAAAGAGACCTATTGTGGCTCTCCTCTTCCTTCTAGGGGTCTGACACAGAGGGGTTCTAACAATCAAAGGTCTGGATGTTAATACATGCCTCACCCCCGCACAGGGCTGACCGAATAACAGAAACCAGGTCCTTTGCCAATTACTGAGTCAAGCTGGTGCCACCATGTTCATTGGCCATGAGTGGCCACCCCATGCCACAGCAACTATCTAAGGACTTTGTGACCTTTGTCCAGCTCCCATGTGCCACCTGATCGACAAATCAAACACACCCTCGAAAAGATGCAGGAATAAGGTTTGAGAAGATGTTTGATGTCTGCTCAAAAACATACATAAAATATATAACATCTGTGGACAAGTGTCAGTTGATTATAGTTCATTTGATGATAGAACGTTTTGTGGTCCCTTTACACTTGACAAAGCCCTTTCTAGCCATAATTATGTCTTGAGTGGAGAGTCAGTGGGTTCACAATGGAGTTATCCTCAACACCCTGATTTACAGATATAGAACTAAATAGCATAAATCAAAATTTAAGGGGCTGGGGATGTGGCTCAAGCGGTAACGCGCTCGCCTGGCATGCATGCTGCCTGGGTTCGATCCTCAGCACCACATACAAACAAAGATGTTGTGTCTGCAGAAAACTAAAAAATAAATATTAAAAAAATTCTCTCTCTCTAAAAAAAAAAAAAAAAATTCAAGGGGCTGGGATTGTGGCTCAGCAGTAGAGCGCTCGCCTCGCATGTGCGGGACCCTGGGTTTGATCCTCAGCACCACATAAAAATAAATAAGTGAAATAAAGTTATTGTGTCTAACTACAACTAAAAAATAAATATTTAAAAAAATTCAATTAATCTTGGTGATTATATTAACCTCCCCCCCCCCCCGGAAATTCCATTAAAATTATATACATTCGAATGAGAGCTACACCTAAGGACATTTATCTTTGCCTCATCAAAGATAAAGTACATGGATCTATGTACAATATATATTTTAAATACATTTTGATACCAGTGGTCATATCACTTCAACCATGGCAGCTGAAATGGTTTTAAAGCACAACCACTTAAAAATGGTTTCCTAACTTTCCCTCCCATCAGATAATAGAATATGCTCATCTAGACCCACCTTTGCCATCAGATCTCTCTCTCTTCTTTCTGCATTTCTTCGTAGAGCTGAGAGTTCCAAAATTTCTTTATTTAGAAATTTATTTTGGGTTTTGTACCCCTGCAGATTATCCTGTTGGGGCAAAAAACAAAGACCATCAATTCACACTGCTTGAATGTTGACTAATTATCCTATGTAATTAGCATCTTGCTCTCTCATCAGTCAAATAGTTCTACTAAGTTAGAGCAAGTTATAAGGAACTGGAAGCTCTTAATAGGAACTTTCTGACTGATCTTTTTCCCCCTCCTGACAGCAACAGTGCCTGCCTAAGCACTGTCAAGGAGGGAGAAAAACAGCTCCTTAACGGTGATGATTTTTCTCAATTGATGACAGGAGATAAACAAGAGATAAACAAGATAGATAAGGCTTATCTCCTAAACCTATGCAATTATGTTATCTATTCATATTCACTGAGGTAGTATAAAAAAGGCAAACACTTATAATCTTGTCTTTTTAAACTAGAGAAATTAAACAGATTCTCAGCAGGTTCTCATTTTTACTTATCCAGTTTATTTTAAAAAAGACTAAAAACGCATAAAAACCTTTAACTGAAAATTACACTAAATAATGAAGAACTATAATCTACAATGGAAAAGCCACTTAAATAGGCTCCTCTATTTTTTGTATTGAAAAATTTCAAACTTATGGAAACGATGAAAGAAAAGTACCACAGGAACAGGACTGTGGCTCAATGGCAGAGCACTGGCCTAGCATGCACAAGGCCAGGTTCAGTCCCCAGCACTACAAAGCAAATAAGCAAACAAAACAAAACCCAAGAATGCCGTTCACCTAGTTCACCAACTGTTTACTTTTGCCATATTTACTTTATGTCTTTAAGAGAATGTAACAATGGGGCTGGGGCTGTAGCTCAGCGGTGGAGCACTTGCCTAGCACATGTGAGGCACTGGGTTTGATCCTTAGCACCATATAAAAGTAAATAAATAAAGTTATGCCCATCTACAACTAAAAATATCTTTATTTAAAAAAAAAAAAAAAAGAGAATGTAACAAGCCACTGACAAATTCTGCCAGGTCCAAAAACAAATAAAAAAGGGGGAGAAGAGTTTTCATGTAAAATGCTATGAAAATAATGTTATAAAACTTTCAGACCATTATAATAAAAGCAAACAATGAACTGAAGAAGCTTCTAGACAAAGAGATTAATTAGAACTACCTTTTAGGCAATGATTTCTAAATGCTCCTTATAAATTCAGTCTTTAATAAATGTGTCCCCTGCCCCCCACTGTTTATAATTATTTCTCTTTTATAACCTGACAGGTTAGTGCATGAGATTCCTGAAGAATTTCTGATCCCTCAGTCACAGAACAGAGTTTGTTCAAGGCAGCTCCAAGGGCAGGCCAGGGTGGTCAAGAAAGACTGATCCCTGTGTTATCACAGGAAGGAGACAGCTGCTATTCTCCAGGGATATGTCCACAGACATGCCCCAACCTCCAAACTTGAAACTACCTTGAGGATATACAATTTCTCCCCTAAAACACAGAAGAACCGAAAAAGTTTCAATAGCCCCTTTAATTTCAGATATTTATGGAGCATCTGGTATGAGTTACAAGTGCCATGTGAAGCGTGTGACATTCTTGATCTCATTTAAACCTCACAACTCTCAGGGAGCTATTCTCATCATCTCTCTCTCCCAGAGAGATGATGATAAGAACTGAGGTGTCCATCCAGGAAGCATCTGGGTAGGGAAGCAGGCTCCTGAGGGCCTGGCCTGGTGGGCTCCTGACCTGTGTGCTCAGCCCTGACTGCCACCTGCACTTGGACAGGCATCACCCCTGATCAGCCTCAGCAAGTCCTCAAAACACCAAATGTCAAACCCAAAAGGAGGCCCATTGATTTTGTTTTCTGACCTGAATCATGGTGTTCTCCTCTCTCTCAGCACCTTAGCAGTGAACAAACACATTACCACAAGGTAGGCCAACCAAAGGCAGGTGGACTGGACAGCAACTTAAGAATACACTCGGCAATGTTGGACAGAGACCCAGTGAGTGATAGGAGGTAGGGTGGTGAGAGCTACACCTATATCCTTCTTTTTTTTTTTTTTTTTTTTGTGTGTGTGTGGTGCTGGGGATTAAACCCAAGGCCTTGTGCATCCAAGGCAAGCACTCTGCCAACTGAGCTATAAACTCGGCCCCCACATCTATGTCTTTAAATTATGCTTTGTATTAAAGTCTAGGTAAATCCAGAACATTTATTTTAAGGATATTCCTCTACAAAGATGATAATGATGATCACAGCAATGATAACATCTGACAGTTAAAACCTCACAAAGTGCCAGGCACTATGTACTTGGGCTTCACGCGGACCACCTCCTTTAACCCTTAGAACACCCTGTGTTGTACTTAAGTCACTAGGCTGCCAAAATCCTAGGACCAATATTTTGCCCCTACCTCAAAATACTATAGAAATAAGACATGATCATGTGTCAGACCACATAAAAGTTAGTAAGGACTGCGGATGTAGCTCAACAGTGGAGTGATTACTTAGCATGCATGAGAAGCTGGGTTCAATCCCCAGCATACACAACAACAACAAAAGAAAGAAAAAGAAAACAGTAAGTCCCAAAAGACAGAAATTTTTATAGGCCATATCCACTGATAACAGAATAAGAAAAATGACCAGTAACAGCAATAATAAGAAGATATACAAATATATCTTAAAAATAAAAATATAAAAATATATAAAAACACATGTCAAACATTTATGCTTGTTTATATATAAAAATAAAGAATGGCTATTTATATATGCTATATATATATATTATTTTTTTTTCTCCCACCTAGGTGCTTTAAATTTGGGGTCAAAGAAGAAATCGATACTTCCTCTTCAACCACACAACCTAGAACTGCGGGATGAGGAGAAAACACATGTTGAAATGAATACTCTAAGCTCTCCCTCCTCCTCTCTCAAGTCCTTTCAATCCTTGCAGGGCAGAGGTGGATTAGGCGTGAATATCTTCTGCATGGCAGGGGGACAGATGCTTCTGGCAATGGCACTAACAGGCCCTGGGCCGAACTATGTCAGGAAACATGAGGTAGGTCCTTACCCAGGCAGGTGTCACTCTCCCACTTAGAATCCTGCCTCTTCGTAAACTGTCCCCACTTAATCTTACTATTGCGGAATTTTAGAGCCACAAGCTTTAAAACCATTGAGAAAAGTTGGGGAAAAAGATTTCACAACTGATTTGGAACCATCCCAGCCATTATGCTATAACAAGGAAAGGGAGGGGGAGTCCTCTCTGGTAAACCCTGTCAGTGGTCTCCAAAGGGAGCCATGCAGAGTCGCAGCAGTCGTGTGGCACACACATCACATGCCTGGCTTGGCTCCCTGGGAAAACTTGTCCCCCACACTCCTCCACTCCAAGCATGGCCCATCACAGCTTGGAAACCCAATGCTCAAGCATCCGTCTCTACAAGCTACAAAAATAGACAAGCTTGCAATATGTAAATTTCAACTGGTATTATCTAAGTATATTATTGATGGGATTGATATCTATCAGGGTCAAGGATAATCACAATTGTGTATAAAAACAAAACTGATTTCTATTGGCAACACTAACCATGGCCTCTGTTTTAAAGAGGCTGTCTTTCTAGTACATAAGTATAAAGTAATGATATTGGGTTTTTTGTTGTCTTATTGTTTTACTAACAATAATTTATTGTTTTTGTTGTTTTACTAACAAATCTTCAGGGCCTCCTATATTCAGGGGATGCTGTCACTGAGATGTGGTCACTATGGGAGATCATCTAGGCATTCCGGTGATGCTACTATTATTCCAGGGTTTTTAAACTCCATTTTGGAGTTGTCTTCAAGGTCCCTGGCCTGCTCACCGTTCACCCATTCAACCTGTTGTCAGTACACGAAAGAAACAGCAAGGCAAGAAGTGAATGCTCAGTGATAACCTCGATAGCAACAAATCTTTGCCCTTCAAGAATAAACTCTGTTTGTGCAGGCAAGCATCCTTGAAGCCAAATTATTTGCAAGAAGAGAGTGAGAGACACTTTGGGGCCAAGTGGGGCTGTCAGCTACAGAATTGCCTGGGGTCACCTGGGCTCTCCCCTGTGTCCTACAGGACATTTGTCCAACTGAAACCTTTATAACAAAGGTCTCAGGAATAGAACTAGTAGCAGCAAGATTTGGTGACACTTTCTATGGCCTGACAGTGGTGCAGGACTACTCAGTTCTCTCCTCTGGACCAAGCTACTCTGCAGGCATAAGGAGCAGATTTGCCCTTGCCTCCCATAAGAGCTGGTGCTCCTCCTACCTCATTTGCTTGCCACCACCCTAGGTGTGACTAGGGAGAGTCACTGCTGTTTAGGAACCAGCCTCCTACCCTAGGGCTAGCCCAGAGAGACATGCTGTCCTCCCTTCTAGGTGTCAGGACCCACCCACCTTGGGCAGAGCCTGAGCAAGCCACTTCCTGGGCCTGTCTGGAGCAGGTCTACCTCTCCAGCTGGCCCTATACTAGTTATTGGCAACAATGCTCCTGCCCAGGCCTGTGTTAGGTCCTGTGGTGGGTAAAAATTAAGTTTATATGTGTATTCATGTACCCAGAAGGTACATGAATAGGTTCTGTGGAATAATGAAGTCCTATGGGTGGAATAAATAGAAAGGGAAGTCTTAGCTCCTTGAAGCAACGGCAATAGTGTTGGACCAAAAGTTTCATTTTTCAGAGAAGCTCCTTAGAATGTCAAGAGTGGAGGTGGAGCTCAGTGGTACAGAACATGCCTAGATGTAGGAGGCACTAGGTTCCATCCTCAGCGCTGTAAACAATGTAATAATAATAATTATTATTAATTAATAATAATAAACAACTATTATTACTTGACTATAAGTTCTATTACACTTGTCCCTTCCCCGCCCCCCAACCTAAAAAAGGGCACAGTTGCTCAGCTGTCTCAACAAATTAGCTGACAGAGGCCAGTGCCTGTGGAGTGACATGATAAAGCTAACTGGTTTCTGGATCTCCATCCCAGCAATCAGAGCCCAGGCCCTGCTCTTACTTTCAGTCTGTCCAGCTCCAGCTGATCCTTGCTGACTGGGGCAGTCAAGGGGGAGCCGGGCCCGGAAGAGGGAGAAGACACGCTGCCCTCAGACTCGCTGAGCTTGATGATGACCTCGTCCTTGGCCTGGATGGTCTCCATCAGCATCCCCAGCTGCTCATTGAGCTCCCCCACCTTGCTCTTCAGTGTCCTCACTTCCTGCTGGAGACTGTCCTTTTCCAGGGTGAACCGCTCCAGCTGGCTGCTGAGTCCCAGAATCTGGTCGTCCTTCTGATGGAGAAGCTCCAGCATGTTCCCAGGGACCCCCTCACAGAGTCGGCTGCTTGTGAAATACTTGTCATACTGAGACGACCGAACTGTCTGCTGGAGCAGCCGAACCAGCTCCTTTGAGCCGAGAGGAAGATCAGGTGAAGGGCAGGGAGAGCAGAGGAAGAGGGGAAAAGCAGAAATCATGACAAGGCTACAGGGAGCAATCGCTGGAATTTGAGGAAATGCAGAAACTTTACTGGAAACACTTTAATACTGAACTTCCTCTTGAAAGATCACAAAAATAGAAAGGAAAAAAATATTTACTCCATGAAGAGTGACTGGAGAACAATAATAGGAAACAGGAAATAATGGAGTGCATACTGTAATTAGCAATGGTTCCTGGCAAATGTTCATCAGTATTAGAGAATCTGTGCCCTGAGATTCACTGAACAGCCGAGCCGTTAAGTTTAATTAGGTTTGATCAGCTCATAAAGAAACTACGCTGCTCAACAGGACATGGAAACTCTTTAAACAGTTAAAGAACTCTGGGCTAAAGCCATGTTTAGAGAGTCAGCCTCAGGGGCAGAACTGGGCAAGGGTGGAGAGAGCACTGTCCTGCAACATCTTTAAAGGGACCTTCCCTCTCCCTGGAAATTCAAAGACTAGACAGAGCACAGTGCCCAGCATGGTGCCATGGCAACACGAAGCTCTGGTGAAGAGTCCTCCTGGGAGATGGACTGTGAACCAGGCTTTCCTCCTAGGGCTCGACCAGCAGATGTGGGGTAAGACAGAAGTCTGAAGACCAGTTACCTTCTGACTGGACAGGTCCTTCCTCAGCTGCTCCAGCTCCTCCTGCTGGCTCTGAACCTGCAGCTGCAACTCGGAGGCTGCCTTGCTTATGCCACCACCTGACATGCCCTCGATGGAAGGGTCACTACTGCTGTGACGGTTTTTGTATGATCCAATTATGTCTTTCAAAGGGCGTTTTCCTTTGTAGGGGTTACGTCCAAAGTCAAAGGGGAATCCTGAGCCAGTTACTCCTACATAAAATAAAATTTGCTTGTTTAAGAGCAGGTCAAGTCTTCCATTTGGAAACTACAATAAAATAGTGTCCTCATGAATCACCATCCAGGGAGTTTGTACTCACCATTCTAAGGAATAATCACAACTCTATAGAATAATCTAAAACATCCCCACTGGATCCCTCCTCAGAAGACTACCAGTGGTAACTTTAAAAGATATACTAGGGCTGGCTGGGCACAGTGGCACATGCCTGTAATCCCAGCAGCTTGGGAGACCGAGGCAGGAAGATTACAAGTTCAAAGCCAGACTCGGAACGAAACAAGGCCCTAACCAACTTAGTGAAACTCTGTCTTAAAAAAAAAAAAAAACATGCTAGGGATCCTTGGCTTCCCATTTTTGCTAATCTGTTTTTTGCTAAAAAAAAAAATGCATGTTTTTAAGAATTATAAACACATATTTTAAAGCCACAACTTGTAAGCAAAAACGAGTATTTAAAAAATATCATGGGATCCAAATAAATTTTAGTGTAGATAAATACAAAGTCAAATACAAAGTCAGATACATGTCAAAATACAAATAGGAGACCCAAAAGGGCACACACTATAAAAGCTGATTTATCTAAAATTGGGAGAACAGCGGACCCTGGGAGACAGTGCAGCTAGCACCTAAGGAGCACTGGTTACATGGTGTGTTTGCTTTGTGACAATTCATTGAGCAACTCTAACTTGGGAGCTTTTCTGCGTATTATGTTTTGATACAATAATATCAAAAAGTTTGCTTAAAATCAAGGCAGGGGGAGATAAGGAAGGGTAGTCCACTTCCTACAAATAACATGGACAATAAGCTAGTGAGTTGATTCTTAGAGTTGATACAGGAAATGCTCATGATTCAAGCAAGATCAAATTCCAAAGACATTAGTGTCTTTCATGGAGCTCCCCCTCAAAGGGAAGCAGGACTGGGCAGAAGCTTAGAGAGCTGTTGCCAGTTCCTCTCCAGCAGTGCTGAGAGATTCTCATCACTCCCAAGGCACTAGTCACACTGATCTTGCTTACATTCAAGCTTTCTGTTTCATTCTCGGTTTCTACTAAAAGAGGAAAAGTGCTCATTTTCAATGATCCAAAGCCCCAGTCCTAATCCCTCTTCTTCCAGGAAGCATTCCCAGGTCACAGTGAGTCCTGAGTATTTATTCTCACTAACTGCCATGCACTGGGCAGCTAGTGTTCAACCGGCTGCCAAGTGCATCATGTCGTATGGGCGATGGGTTTCATGCCAGGATTCTACAGAACACGGAGTACGCCCCCTTCTCAAAGTGAATCATGGATGCCCTTTCCCAGGGGACAGAAAAAAATGTTTATCTTTAGTAAATTCTTGGTCTTTCCATAAAGATTTCCCAAAATTATGCCTCCTGCTCTTGCTGGCCCATGCTGAATCAAGCATAAGGCAATATTTCAAAATTATTTATTGTAATTTTGTTTAAAACACTAATATTACTTAGTGAATCTAGATTATGAATGGCTGCTACAATCATTAAGCAAAAGGCTGATGGATGATATTAGAAATGGATCAGACTAACACCCCTAAACCCAGATCAACTGAAATATTATCAGAGGAAAGACCAGACATGGTATGGCTCCACAGGGGGTGCAACAGCAAGTAAACAGCACCCCCTCTCCAAAGAAAATGTACTTTGTTCAAATTAAGTCAACCCTGAATCTGAGCAAGCCTCTAGCTATGACTAGCAGCATGGAGGAAACGCAGGAAATGGAGGCATATGTTAAATGATCATCCCTCCGCGCCAAGAAATACAGTTAGCAAAATCCAGAGGTAGGGATGTCCTTAGCTTGAAGATCTAATTTCCTCCACACATGTGGCAAGGAGAAGGGAAGAAATAAGGGAGCAGTCTAGAAAAGAGAGGCTTAAGAAGACTTGTCACTGAATACAATATGTGGGCCTTGTTTGATCTTCATTTGAACAAACTGAACATTTATGGAACAATTGGGGACTTAAATAATATAAAAGATTTACTGTAACTCCTTTTAAATGTAATAATAAAGCTATAATTATAATTTTTTAAAAAGAGTCATTATCTCTTAGAGATACCTACTAAAGTATTTACAAGTGTCCAGAATTTAAAATAATATAGCCTGGTGGTGTGTGCAAGAAAGGCAGAATCCTAGGGGAGACAAGGACAAAATAAGAGAGACTATAAGTTCAAAACTGCGAAACTGGTGATGGGTGTTATAGCTTATATCTTGAATATCCCCAAAGGTCCACCTGCTAAGGCTTAGTCTCCAGCTTGGCATTACTGGGAGGTGGTGGAAACTTTAAGAGGTGGGACCTAGTGGCAGGTCTTTGGTTACTGGAGTGTGACCACTGAGTCCTAGTGGGATAAGACTAGCCCCTTTCTCCTATAATACTTTTTCTCCCTGGACATAAAGTGAGTCCAGTTTTATTATTCCACACACTTTTACCATACTGTGCTCCCACAGGCCCAAAGCAATGAGACAACTGACTAAAACTTCCCAAACTGAGAGTCAAAATAACCCTTTCACTCTCTAAGTTGGCTTACCTCGGGTATTTATTACTCTAACAGAAAGCTAACACAATGGGAACACTAGAATTCGTAATACTGTAGTCTCTTCATTTGAGGACAACTTCAAATTTCTATAAATAAAGCTTTTTAAATTAATATTTCCATAAAGATCAGCATGATTTCCAGCTCTTCTACCTCCTGGAAAAGGTTAACAGCCATTGGACTAGATGGTCATTTATTTCTTACAGCATTTCATTTTTTAAGCCTTTACATTTTATGTCCCACAGAGAGAATACAAGCCTCTCTTGGGCCCTATGCTTCTAGAAATACCTACCAAAAAAGTAGCTCCCCGGTTACAGGGTTAACAGAAGGCAGCAAAGAAAGAGACAGAGCTCAGGAGCATGTTGTACCTTTGTTTCCCTCAGGCATCTGCTTCTTTCTTTCTTCTTGTACCATGGGTTCCTCCAGGTCCTTTGAGGGTGGGTCTAAAAGTTCCCACTCTTCATTGGTATAAAACACAGTCCTCCGACTGTCACTATTCCCTCGCCCAGGACGGAAAGATGACATTGAATTTCTATAGGGGAAAAAAAAAGGAATGTGCTATTTAAAAACATGAAAAAAGTAAAACATGAATACAGAATTGTAGAAATTAAAAGATCAGATCACCACCTCATGGTGGTGAAATTATGGAGAAATGGTAAATTTATACACTGCTGGTGGGAACATAAATCAATACTTTTATCATGTAGTGAAATTCAACAATACACCATTAAGTGGAAGATGCTATATAGCATTAAAATAATCAGATGTGGGATGGCATTGTGGCTCAGTAGTAGAGCACTAGCCTGGCATGTGTGAGGCGCTGGGTTCAATCCTCAGCACCACATAAAAATAAAAAAATAAAATAAAGATATTGTGTCCAACTACAACTAAAATAAAAATTAAAAAAAAATCAGATGCTACATAGCACTTAAAATGAATTCATTCATTCAACAAATATTTATTGAATGCCTATTATGTACCAGGTACCATTCTAGATGTTTGGGATACCATAGTGAACAAAACTGCAAGATTCTTATTATCCTTGTGGAACATGTACCTCCCAGTTACAGCTACATGTAACTTTTCATGGGGAAAAATATTTCTTTAATGCTGTTGAAAAAGGAAAGAAAACCAAAGAATAAAACACGTGAAATTGTTTTAAATGCTCATGATAACACTATTAATAGAGATTATTTAGAACATATACATATAGTAAAACTATTCTAAAAATCCACACAAGAATGACAGCCATCAATTACAGAACACTGGTTACCTGGGTAGAAAGCAAGAGAAGAACAGTATCGTGAAGAGAGGATTTAACTGCGTTCACAACATTTTGATCTCTCAAAATATAGCACAAATGTGAGAAAATTATAAAGCTGGGTAATGACCATCCAAGTAACCAATATGCTATACAGCTGCCTGTATGCTAAGAATATTTCATTAGAAGTTTTAAAAACTAGGTTTGGATTTATGTCTAGTGAAAATGGAGTAACAGGGACTAGATTAACCCATGCCCCTGAAAAACTAAAAAAATGAGCTAAACAGGAAAAAATGGTTTTTAGGCACTGGCCATCATGCATCTCAGGAAAGTGATCACTGAGGAAAAATAATTGAGGTGGGCCCCACCACTGCCCTGGCTTACTGCCTAGAGAGGGTTTCCAGGCCATGGAGTATATAGGGGAGGCCCTGGAGGAGCCCAGAAGCTCCTGAGTTGAAGACAGAGCAAGAGTCCCAGAGCAGCTGGACCAGAGAACTCAAGACAGGAGAGCTGCTTGAGGAGGTGCTGCAGAAATTCTGGATGGTCCCTGTGCCATCCCTGTGCTGAGTATGGATCAGGGTTCATGGATAAGAGAATTATCAGAGGATTGGGAAATAAACACCTGACAGGAGCAAGATGAATAATCCCTGAGGCTCATACAAGCCAGGAGAAGTGCCTCATTCCACCAGTTAAAACAGACACTAGTATGGCAGTATGTAAAAACATGGATGTGTAACCGATGTGATTCTGCAATCTGTATACGGGGAAAAAATGGGAGTTCATAACCCACTTGAATCAAATGCATGTCAAGAGCTATGTAATGTTTTGAACAACTAATAATAATAATAATAAAAAAGTGGAAAACCTCACCATTCACAGAGTGCTCAGAAGGGTTACCAATATAATCCTTAGACTAACAAATGTGCTCACCCTACCAACAAAGCTTAAAAGCAAATTTCAAGAAGATCAAACTGTTTCTGAATAATTTCATCACATCCAAGAACAAAGATCAAGAATATTTATAGGAAAAGAAAACAACAAAATCTAGCACACTAAAAGGTAAAATTCGGGTGGAGTGGTAGAGCACTTGCCTAGCACATGTGAGGCACTGGGTTTGATCCTCAGCATCACATATAAATAAAATAAAGGTATTGTGCCCATCTACAACTAAAATATATTTATTTCTTAAAAAATTTTTTTAAAAAGAACCTAAGAAACAAAGACTGAAATGTTTTGTACCTGGAAGAGGTTTAAAAGATTCAAATCAGATTTTTAGAGGAAAAAAACTCAATATCTGTGTTGAAAAAATACTGGGTAGGATTAACAGCAGACTAGACACTGAAGAAGTAAAGATAAGTAGACTTGATGACTCTACAATTGACACTACCCAAAATGAAACAGAGAGAAGAGACAGATGGGCAGATCAGTGATGCATGGGACAACATCAAGCAGCCTATATACAAGTAATTGGTGTCCCTGAAGGAGAGGAGGGAAACAAAAAAAGTATATGAATAAATAAGGCAAAAATATTTCCAAATTTGATGAAAATTATATATACCCATAGTTCTGAGAAGCTTAACAAAGCACAGGAACCATAAAGAAAACTGTATCACGGCACATCAAATTGCCTTAAACCAATAACCCAAAATGTTTTTAAAAGGTAAATTTAAGTCGAGCATGGTGGCAAACACCTGTATTCCCAGCGGTTTGGGAGGCTGAGGCAGGAGGATTGAGAGTTTAAAGCGAGCCTCAGTGAAAGCTAAGTAACTGAGTGAGACCCTGTTTCTAAATAAAATACAAAATAGGGCTGGGGATGTGGCTCAGTGGTTAAGTATCCCTGAGTTCAATCCCTGGTACCCGCCCCCCCCCCAAAAAAAAAAGTAAATTTAATTTGTAAGAGAAAGAAAGGAATGATCAATATTTCATTGTTAAATGGCCAAGAGATGCGTGTTTACTAAAAAGAGATATCTCAAAGTCATTCAACTTTTCAATTAAAAAAATCACTTGAGCAGTTTGAAGAGCTGGGAGAAGGGCATGTTCACATGAATTACCTTACTTAACCCAAATCACTGGAACATGGAACTAGCATCACTATCTTCAGTTGAACATGCAGAAATGACTTTGGTGGACTAAACCACACCTTTGGCCAATGGCATGATCAGGCTGAGCCTACTCTGATTCTAAAGCTCTTTGCCACACTATGCGGTCTAATGTCTGATGGGGCAGCTACTACACTGAAAAACAGAGCTAAACCTGCTGGAAAGACAGAGATAATCATTCAGGGCCTGTTGAAGATAGACCAGATCCTAGGAGCAGGACTAAGGAGGCTTGGCCCCCAAGGAGGGGACCTGTGCAAGGAAATGTCTTTACTATGCTGCATCCGGCTTCCTTGTTGGGATTTGGAATCTCAAGGCTGGTTGTGATTTCAGTTATACAATTAAACCATACAGGGGGTTCTTCTAGTCAATTTCCCATAGTAACCCAGAGAGTAAGATATTGTGGTAAACTAATTTTACAACACAGTACTATGGAGAACACTATTTTAAAACAGGTTCTTTGGAAGAAAAGGAAAACTCTCACAAAGGCTTGATCTATTTCTGTTCATTTTCTGACACAACTGGTTCATCACTTTGCATAGCACTGGCTGCTCCAGTTCTGCCACACCCCAAAGATTCAGTGGCCCTGCCTATGGCCCTGCCATGGTCTTCTCTCCAGTGGCATGTTACCATGCCACCACCAATTTTAGGAGTTAAATCTTCCTTGCCATTTGCCCAGGCTTCAAACTATGTCCTGCTCTGTTCATCGGGTTCTTAAAGGGTGAATGCAGAAAGGAGAAATGAGAGCAGCAGAGTCACACACAGGCCTGGGCATGAAGAATGGTGATAAAAATGGCGATTTCAATGGCTCTGCACTTCCATGCACCCTCCTTCCCCTGATGGGGTTTCACAGTTTCCAGTTTGTCTTAAGGCCATCTTGCACAAAGCCACACTTTCACCTGCAGCTGAGGGACAGCCTCAGGGGTGCAGTGCCACCTCCAAGGCTTGGGTAATAGAGACATGAGATCAGGCTCAAATCGAAAGGCTCTTTAAGCTGAAACACAACATAACCAATCCCCGGAGAAGTGCTTACACAGTGAAACCCAATTCTGTGATTGTGCAACATGGGGGTCATTACAGTACAGACTCTCAAACACATCCGCCCCACCCACGCTACCCAGCAGAGACCGTGGTGGTGACCACGCGTGCAGCCTGTGCTCTGCATGGTAGGGTCCACGGTCCATTTACATGATGTTCTTTGGGTTTCTGTTAATCTTCAACAGTGCCTACTCCTAAATACCCTACTCTGGTTTGAGGAGTCTTTGAAAGGGACTTGAATGACCTTCCAGGCTTCATGCTAGGTCCTGCTGTATTGCCCAATAGTCACTGAGCTGCTCTGATCTGCAGTGGAAAGTCAGCACCAGGAGCAAAATAGCACCTTCATGGCTGCAGTCTGCAGCCTGAGTGCTCCTAAACCAACTCCAGCAATCTGTACCATCCCTAGGAAAGCCTCTCCAGGTTCACAGATTTTACACTGATTTCTGCATGAAGAGTCCAACTAAAACAGTAACAATATATTCAATCCTAGTAATCATCTGGAATTTAAAAGTTGAGACAAGTGTTGGGAAATGGCTCATCAAATCTCTCCAAAGCTAACAGTTCCATGAACCACATTTCAAGCAGCACCTCCACCTGAGACCCTGGGGCAGAGCTTGGACTTCTGGGACACTGAAGGGCAGAAGGGAAGCAGACTACCCTGGGCCATGATTCAGTTTCTTCCCTCTGACCACAGGCCACATCAGAGAAACATCCCCACCTCCACCCAGGACCTTCCTGGGGTCCACCTCCTCTTCTATCACACTCCTGCCACAGTGCCTCAAGGCCTGGCATGACAGTTCGTGCCACTTGTGCAACACACCCTGTTCTGATGTCCTTACCTTGCACTGGTCTTTCCCTCTGGCAGGTCTTCCCCACCCCTCAAGTGTAAGTCCAAACTCATCTTCACAGCAAAACTTTCCCTCACCAGCCTTCCCCAACCCACATCCCTAATGAATGAGCCACTTCCTCCTCAAGACTCCCAGGGCAGAAAAAGCTGCCAGGGTTAGCCTTTATTTGCACCCTGCAAATAAAGAGGACTTGCATGCCTGCCTGCTTCTCTCCAAGAAGGACACACACACCTCACAGGCATGGAGGGACTACCTCTCCCAGCAGCCTCCCAGCAGCCCCACAGTGGAG